CACATATGGGGAATGGAAATGGAAATGAAAATGGGTTCCCTATAAATGAGAATTATTTTCCGACTTTCAAGGATATCCCTTTCCTTAATTACAGAATATGATTCCTTTTCATCCCGGAAAACATTTTCTTAATTTAGGAAAGAATATTCTGTCATTATCGGAATTTTAATATGTATTTTATGTATTAGAATTTTTGAATCAGTTAGAAAATTGTTTTTTCGTTTTCGTTTTGAAAATCGTTTTAGTCAATATCTTTCATAAGAGAAAAGAAAAATTGCACAATGTAATAAAAACAAACTTATAAAGAAAACAATTTTGGAATTTGATTCATAACTCACATTTTGTGAAACACTTTTAATGCAAAAAATACATGTTTTAAGGGTATCTAAAAACAATGCCCATTATTATTTACATTATAGAATATCTCTTATATCAGCAAACTGAAGCTAGGCAGCTCAACTGGCAATGCCCACTTATTTTAGTTTAACTGCAATCTAAGATAGGCAGAAATTATGCAAACTTCAAATTTACATCACTAGGTGGTGCTATAGATATAAAACGTTCTTATGAACTTCCATAGTTTTTGAAGTATTTAACAGATACTAAATAATTGTAACAGACTTATGAATACAAGTTGTATAAAGAGATTCCAGATATGTTTTAACAAGATCAATAATTATTTATGTTTTAATATTAAGTTTAGGTAAAGATTTACTTTATTCATAGTTTACTTTATTTACATTATCTCACCCTTAGAATATTTAAGAATAATTTTTAAATGGTCAATAGTCATTGACCTAGTGTTAGCTATGGTAAATAGGGGTAGGTGTGTTCCTTATAAAACAAAAAAATTTAAAAATTAGGTAAGTTATGAAAGTAAGAAAATGGCAAGTAATATAGTTACATTCAGCAACATTTTAAAGTTTGCTGTTTATTTAATTACTTTTGTATTTCATTTTTTTCAAAGCTTTTTCCAGGGTAATACTATACAGTGGGAAGTGTGGAATATAAAGACGATATATAATCTTATAATCTTATTTATCATATCATATTTATTTTGTTACAAAGCAAATAATTTTCAGCATAGCTTAAAATCATTAATCATTGGACGATTTCACTTTAACAGGCGTCCTTATGTTTCACAGTGATATGCACGTGGATCTAACGGTTCTGTAAATAATTCAGAAAGCTGTGACTTCCGATCACAATTTGACCTCTTACACATAACTTTATAGCCTTTTTTCTTAAATAATATTTTGTTGGAATATACATTTTGAAGGAAAAAGTATAAAATAAACAAATCTGTAAGCTTAAAGATTGTTGAAATATAGACGAAAATACGTTTGATTTCAAATAAAAGAAGCAGGATGCTTCTCTCAGTGGTTAGTTCAGTGTGTATGGGTATTCCTGTATTTTCTATATGTAAATGCACAAAATTTGAAAGATTAGACTAACAAATATGTAAAATTTAATTATCTTAATTTTTATCTCTGTATTGTCTGTATTCTACAGTATAGCAGCATAACTCAATATACAATATAAACATTGGAAAATACTTCAGACTTGGTTTAAATATTTTCTTTATCACAAAATTCTTGACAAGAACAAAAATTTGAAAAGACAGTCCAAAAGAAGAAAAATTTTACTTGCAAAGTAACATAATTACTTGCCTAAAACTTTAATTTTCCTTTCTTCATGCCTTTGCATCTCCTGTATGCCGAGTCTATTAGCGCCTTATCCAATCAGGGTTCAGACATGTGTTTGTTGTCTATTCTGAACCAATAGAAATAGTATCTACGTTTCAATCCATCTCATTTTCCAATTAGAGATATTAATCCTTAAATTGTATGTTAAAAATATATGGATTATAATTTTAGAGTTTTAGGCGAGTAATCAGTTCTTTTCCAGAAAATTCCCATAAATTTTATGAATTGTTTACATATAAAGGCATTTGAATTTAGAATATTGATTTGGATTATCAGAGCAGTTGTTCTGTTTTTGAAAACCCTCAACGCATAGTATCATATTTTTCTTTAAACGATTTATTTAAAATATTATAATTTAGATTAAAAAAGTTAGAATGAGAAAATTGTGAAAGATTTGACAACAAACTTTATAATTAGCATGGCACCTTTCTTCCCTGAGGGTTTGCATTTAGAAAGTTAAATTTAATTTCTATATTTCGGCTCAAATATTCTTATCCAATGCATACTCGGTTAAACAAGTAGTTTTTTTTAATGCCGTAGCACTCTCATTTCTAGCACTATCACCATTTTATAGGGAAAAAAGTGGGGTCCATGTATAAAAAAAGAAATTAACTGTTTTTGAATAAAGCTACAGACTGAAAAACCACATTTCGAAAAGCCCTTGAAAAGAACTAATAGGAAAAATTGTGTCTTTTTTACGATTTTCCGACCCTTTTTTGGGCCTTTTTTAAACTTTCCTAGCCTTCAAACTATTTAAGTTGGAGGTCTAATTTTTTTTTAATGAACTGGCCTTGAAAAGAAAGAACATGCAGTTCAACCTTTACTCTAAGGCCTATTTCTAGTGTGAAGCAGAAAAATTATCAAAAGACGGTGTAATTTTTTATTTATTTTTCGTAATCTTTTGTTTATTTTCAAAACTTATTAATTTAATTAATTAAACTAAATTAAATAAATAAAATCAAAAAAAGGAAATTTGCTCAGTCCTACATATGTATCTCTCACTGATCAACGATTAAATAAAAATCTCTGTAAAATATAAACAGAGAAAATATTTTTTGAAAATTGCATGGAGAGGAATTCAAATTAGGAGAATAATGTAGATACCAGAGTTTCAACATTTTGACACAATTCTCTCAGTTGTTTGAAAGATGATCATGCAGATTTCCACCACATTATGAAACCAACTTACAGCCAACAATAAAAAGCCAATTCTAAATATATCCTCATCCAACAAATTTTAATATTAAACATTTTTCATCATGATTTTAAAAACCAAAAACTTTATAATATGCAATAAATATTTAGTTGTTAAAGGGAGTGTTCGCGAAAAATGAAAGGGGGTATAGGCTTAATACAATAAAAAAGCGCTTTTGATCGCTACTAATCTTACTTCTATCTGTTGCGTCTATTAGGAGAAAATTGTTAAAGACGTCTCATACCGAATATCATGGAGACCATAAAAATTCTGAAAGATGCAACATACGACATAGACCGTAAAAAATCAATTTAATTTCAAACAAATCATTCAGATATTACAACCTATAGTCATCGATTATCTTTCGCCACATTATAAATCTTTACTGATATATCCTAACGTAAAAAATTAAAGGTTCTATTAATACTAATTTTCTTATTTAAGTATGTTAAAAACTATGTTTATTTTTTTATTTTTCTTACTCCAAATGTTCTGTTGCTTCTGTAGTATACAATGCCCTATACTAGTTTCTATGCATATCCAAACATAATGTATTCATGGTTTAAGCCAAAAGTTCATCCCAACATTATGATCTGATGACAATGGGATAATTTATTATTTGTCAGTAGGAATGGACAGTAGTTTTAATTTGTTTGAAAAAATATTGATTATATAATTTATACGACTCACCTATTGAGAGAATATAAAGTGACCTCTGTAAATTGACATATATTTTATTGATTTAAATCCTATCCCAACACGATAATAAGTAATTCCTATTAGAAATTGTACATTTGGTGTCATCTATTTTAAAAGTAAGACTGATTTTACAAATGTTATCAATACACAATTTCATTTGTTGTTGGTTCTTCCTCATATTCTTCTTTAACATTTGCAGTAACTTCTATTTCAAGAAAATTAAACATTTCAACAAATAAATATAGATATAATAATCTGCTCGTCTTACTGTTTGTATCCAATAAACGTCTCTGAACAGCTTAAGCGTTCGGGCTCAAATTTTCATTATCGTTTTATCAAAGAGAAAATGCTGATAGATAAAGCAACAATTAAAAGTTGAAATAGAAAGTGGGCGTGTAACGCCCTGATTGCGCCCTAGTTATAGAAAAGAGAACTGAGTCTTTGCCACAACCTCTGATTTCCTAATCCCTTTATCTTTACAGTCTAATGTCTGAGACCAGATATTTATACTATTCATTATGTTAGATATAATAATCTAAGTTTGAAATATCTAAGGTTTACACCATCAGTTTGCTAGGATATAGGGATTAGAAAATTTAAATTTGTGGCAAAAACTCAATTCTTTTTTATAAATTACCTAGCTCATTTAGCTTGCTACATTTATAATGTTCATCACAAATATGATCTTCCTTTAATTGATCAATATAAAATAGTTTTATTCCTATTCAATATCCCATGGTTCAAATAACCTTTAATTGATCAATATAAAATAGTTTAATTCCTATTCAATATCCCATGGTTTAAATAACCTTTAATTGAGCAATATAAAATAATTTAATTCCTCTTCAATATTCCATGGTTTAAATAACCTTTAATTGAATAATATAAAATAGTTTAATTCCTATTCAATTTCCCATGGTTTAAATAACCTTTAATTGAGCAATATAAAATAGTTTAATTCCTATTCAATATCCCATGGTTTAAATAACCTTTAATTGAGCAATATTCAGAATGAAAAGGCTCAATAATGCATCTATTAAAATTCAGAAAGAGTTAAGAAAACTAATACTACAGAAGTTTATGTTTTATTAGATGAAATAAATAGTAAATAATTTTACTTTGAATCTAATTCTTTCAACTATGGTAGGCAGGGGCAGGGGCAGCCTTGGGGGCATATGCCTTCTCAGCAGGGTACTGGGGAACTCCCTCATAGGAAACATCAGCGACGAATCCATCTTTTTTTGAGATCTAGATATTTATTATCTTCGTATCGAGATTATGTTAATTTTACAAAATTGTTTACATGTATTAAATAAAACTATTTTACAACAACATCGTGTACATTAATTTTTTAAAAAATTAAGAAGAGATCAATTAGTTTACGGATACACTTTATCTTTTTTTCCCCCTTGCCAAAATTAATGATACATTTATATTTAAGTATTGATAAGGCAGCAGTTCAAAAGAAAAAAACTAACTACATTATTTATAATTAGGTAGCATATCTGTATGCAATAAGACTAAGAATTATTACAAACACAGTTTGTGTTGTCGCATATTAGAAGGTGCTAAAAAGAACTTTGTGCATGTTTCAAAATACATGCGTGGGAGCTAGTTTTCTTTTTTAAATTAAAGAGAATTTATGTTTGCTCATTAGTTTTGAGACTATATAAACTAGGTAAATGAAGGAACAGTATAATTAAGAATCATACTAACGAGCAACATTGATGGTTCTTCGTTGATATCTAGGCTACATAAACTAGGATATTGAAAAGAGATAAGATTTCAGTCTCTTCGTGTTCCTCATATCTTTTAAATTTAAGCGAAATTATGTTAACTCGTTAATATTGAGGCTACATAAGCAAAGTGAAAGAAGGAACATAATAGTTAAGAAATATACTAACTAGGAACATTGATGGTTCATCGTTATTATCGAGGCTACATAAACTAGGATATTGGAAAGAGATATGATTTCAGTCTCTTCGTGTTCCTCATATCTTTTAAACTAAAGAGCGATTATGTTAGCTCGTTTGTGTTGAGGCAACATAACAAAAGGAACTAACTAGGAACATTGATGGTTCCTCGTTAATATCTCGGCTACATAAACATGGATGGTCGAAAGAGAGAGAGAGAGAGACAAAACTTCAGTCTCTTCGTTGTCCCCATATCTTGTGACATCTTGGTTCCTCTGCGTTGAAATTTGTCACCGTTATCTGCCGGTTCGGGAGGCGTTTCAGTTCTGTTCAAACTGAATAAGTAAAAGAAACCATTAGTTTAATTAAAACATTCGGTAGTGTTTACATTCAACTCAAATAAATTCAGATTTTAACTCATATACTCTTTATTTAGTGACGAATTTTAGAACAGTTTTTATAAAAAATTATTTGTAAAAAAAGAAATTGCGTTAATAGGAAATTTGAGGACGCGGAATTATGACCACAAACTCTTTAAATCTAGAATTATAACAATAAAATCTTTAAATCTAGAGTTAGGACAATTTTTGATTTTGAGTATAACAATAAAATCTTTACATCTTATTAAAGAGTAGGTTAATTAGATTCGATTTAATAGGGTTAAACCTTTGCAGTCCATTGTGGTCCATGTACACGCCCTTGACCTCTGTATAAAATAGATATAAAATCCAGTGACATAGAAGGAAATCTGCCAGTTTTCCCCGGGGCCCATGGAAGTCTATTTTTACCGTTATTTTTTCCGTCGAGAAGTTCAGCTCTGCGATCCGCCAACTCCGAGATCCGTCTGGCAGTCAGCTAGCTTCCAGGTTTCGGTTTAACTAAGTAGAAAGAAAAGTCTAGAATAATGTCAATAAGATCTTTAACTCTAGAAAGTGACATTAAAATCTTTACATCTAGAATTATGACTATAAAATCTTTACATCTAGAATGATGACAATAAAATCTTTACATCTAGAATTGTGACGATGAGATCTTTAGATCTAGGAATATGTCCAAAAATGCTTTGAATCTAGAATCATGACAAAAAGGTCTTTAAATCTAGAATTAGGACAATCCAATCTTTAAGTCTTTAAATTTGGGGTATAATAATAAAATCCCTAAATCTTGAATTATAACAATATAGTCTTTAAATTTATGATTATAACAATAAAATCTTAAAGTCTTGACTTATTACATTAAGATCTTTGAATCTCAAATTGTGACAATACATCTCGGGATCTAGACTTGTGACGACAAAATCTTCAAACCTTGAATTACGAAACTAAAGAAAAATAAAAAAATCCCCAGATCTAGAAAAATGACTTTAAAATCTTTTAGATCTAGATTTATGACAGTAGAAACTTTAAATCAAGAATTGTGATAAAATATAACATTTAAATCGAGAATTTTGTCAATATAATCCTCATATCTAGAATTAAGGCCAAAAAAATTATAAATTTTGAATTATAGAAATAAACTATTTAAATCTGTAATTATGACACTAAAATCTTTAAATCTTGGGTTCTAACCAACAAATCTTTAAATCTAGAATTGTGTCAGTAAAATCTTTCGATTTAGAATTATGACAAAAAAATTTTAATTCCAGAATCGTGATATTAAAATCTTTAAATCTAGAATTTTGACAATGAAATCTTTAAATCAGGTTTTGAAATATATAAGCTTTTTTCAGTGTTGGAATATAGATAACTATTTGCAATAAGGTGTTAGTAGGGTAAGTTAAATAAGTTAAGAACTTCTAGTTAGGAAAATATGGACTCAATATTGCCTTTGCAGTCCAATGTGGTCCAGGTTCGCGACTTTAGCCCTCTCTGTGTAAAATAAATATAAAATTTTAGTCACATAGACGAGATTCTGCCAGGTTCAGCTGGACGGAAGGATTTTGATGATAAGTCGATAATCCATTATGACTCGTACTTAAAGTTCAGTCCTATTAAATGTGAAGTAAAGAATTTTTTTCACATTTTAATATAAAACATTGAATAATTCAAAATATACTTTGAGCGTGAGCCTGATTCAGAATCTTGGATAAATAAGATAAAAGATTTTTATGTGGAAAGTATTTACTTAAAATCTCAAGGTTTTTTCTTTCTTTTCCTTTATTTATTAGGAGACTCTAACACGTTCAACTTTTTAATAACATTTTTTTTTAAAAAGCAGTTGAAAGTGGTTCATGTTCATGACCTTAGCCTAAGTTAGGTAAATGTAAAATTTAATTATCATAAACGTACTTGTGCGATGCCCTGCAGGATCCCATGAAAATCTGTTTTTACCGTTATTTTTTTCCAGAAAAGTTCACTCTGAGATTAGTCCAAAACCGAGATCCTCTCCGTGATCACTTGGTCCTGTCTCGTATTCGGCGTCGGGGTGATCCTCAAACAGCACTTTATGTACCCATGCAGCTCCAGTGACCATGAACAGCATGTTTCTCGTCCAACTATTTTAAACAAATAAAGAAATTATGAATCTGTCATAGAAAGCGAATTGACTCATGTGATTATATATTAAACTTTTTTAGGCGTGAAGTTAAAAAAATAAAATGAGACTCTAAGTATATTTTTTATTTTCAAATCAGATTAGTGAGCATGGGTTTAATAAAAAAAAAAGTTTTTTATTCCCATAAATGACCATAAGAGAAAGGGATCAAGAGATGTTTATCTCAGAAGAAAATAAGATAGAAAATGCGGTCTGGAATTATTATTTTTTCATGAATCATGAACCAGTCCTGCTGATGAAGTATGAAAAGGTCAGTCGGATATTCATTAATTTTCGACATTTTCAAATCGGATTAATGAGCGAGGATTCAATGACATAAAGAGAAAGAGATC